GGGGGGTGTTTTTTCATGTCTACTTTAAACAATAATCAATGGAAAAATCCCAAAAAACCATTAGTTTATGCGATAACTGCAAAAACATTTCCCTGCAGTGATGCGAGAGAGCGAGAGAGTGAATCGATGATACTGCTCTCTCACTCACGGGCGAAGGAAAAACGGTAGCCCGCTGCCTGGAAGGGGCGTCGCTTATGCATGTGTGCGGAGCCACACGGACGTACTGCCGTTTAACGCTGCAGCGTCATTGGCTCTCCCATTTACCCCAATATCTCCGGGGGGGTGCTTCTGATCCAAAAGTGGAAAAGGACTTTTCGGCTCAGAATCACCCCCTGTACATGCTGGTACAGGATTAGCATGTACTTCTGGGACACCCTGTATACATAAATGGGGATTTATTTGATGGAATGGTGACACTATGGTGATTTTATCAGGTAATAAATCATCTATAATCAGCCATTTCTCATTATTAGCAATACATGCAGTATAATGTCCAGAACTATTTTCATCAAGGGTTTCTGGGTCATGAAAATTTACAATTCCGTGTGTTATGTCCGGAGACGTTGTCAGCGTCGGAGGACAACTATTGTATAATAGAATTATTTCTGGAAAACAAGAACTAGAACTTTTGATATAAAAATATGGAAAAGCTAAGTTAGAAATGTTGAATGAAGCTAAATATTTTTATATTTTACGTTTAATTTGGACGACGCTAGGTTTGGTTTTCATTCTTACCTTGATTGTGTTGTTAATTTAAAATATTGAAATAGGGATAGGAATTCAGGGATTAAGAATAATCAAATGATTCCGAGGAAATTTTATGCTCAAAATTAATCTTCTATTTCTAAACTCTTTGGAAATACAATTAAAAGTGTTGGTTTGAATCTAGAATTTTATGTATAACACAATTTATTTAACAAAAAGGTAGTAACGATTAAATATTCATCCCTGAATAGTTCTTTATAGATTTTGATAGCTGATTACTTTGGAATTGAAAAGTGTGAAACTAATTCTTTGAGACTCACAGTTGAGCAGTATTATTATTGTAATCCTTTCTTATGGATAGGCGTTGATCCTTCGGTGACACAATCGTCTTTCTTCACCAGAATAAGAGTAGTCTCTGATCCTATTATGAATACTTCTTATTCTGCCACGTTCACCCACTCGCTTATAATTAATAAACAAAATTTAAGAGTTTTGAGAATGTCCACAACCACGGAAACTAATGAATTAGTCCTCTTAATATGCAAGAAACACTCCTACTTTCGATTCAAGGATGCAGTATCCCTGTACACTTCAGTCCGTTTAGCTATTTACTATTATTCAATAGGTTACCGCGCACTATATCGAATCAGTTGCGAATTATAGTATGGGAGTATCAGAAGAGACAGATCGATTCCGGAAAGTAATTTCCACCAAGTCAAATTATCGCTCCGACGGTTGTTTCTAGACTGGTTTGTCTTTTGGATTTTGGAGAGCGGATCGGTTTGTGGTGGTTACACGAATCGACTTTTAATTGGTGGAAATTATGGTGTGATTTTCCCACTTTTTATTCTTGAAGGGAATTGACCTGTCAATTCAGCAATTTTGATAGCGCGTGATTTCGCCGGTAAGGTTCACTGCCCTGACATGTGTCATTCTGGCGCAAAGGCGAATGCACTCACGTGTATGGTGAAAATAATTTTTGATGATTTTGCATTTTCAATTTCCGTGATGGTGAAATTGGACTGATTTATTGAAAGTGGAATTTAATATTCAATGAAGGTATTTACAGTAGTTAATATTTATGAAATTGAATAAAAACTATTTATATAGGTTTTTGGATATCACACGTGTAAGCTGTATTTATTTTCATTCACGTTTAACGTTCTCGTAAAATCACATATCGGTACTTCAAATTTATGATCTGATGGAGAATTTATAAAAAGATGATTGTGAATGTGTACACTTTTTACAACACATTGCATGCTCTCTACATTAGTTCCATTAGTAATTTCTACTATCGTTGTGTCTAATATTTCTTGAAAATGTTGGCAATAATGATGACTATAATGACATATGGATAAAAAACTGGGTTCTAGTATAACTTCATCGATTTTTCTATCACCGCATGATAAACATTCCATTTTTATTGAATAAGTCGGATTCTGATTGAAAATTATGGGACATAAATCGGCTACTGTCATTAATGCATTTAAAATCACTGGATGACACTCCGATCTCATCCGCTTTTGGAAAAATTCTTTAGATTGAAAAATATTTAACCTCAACTGTTGAATATACTGCTCATCAATAGTATCATTGTCAATTATGTATTCAATCAAATCGTATTCCCTAGTGTTCGAATGAAGGATGCCATGGAGTAAACCTTCTGAAGTACATGCTGCAATTAATATTTGCATAATACTGTCGAATCCGCATATTTGTTTTAAATAAAATGAAATACCTTCGCTAATGATTGGATCACAAATGTTGCCAGTTTTAAATATGTGTATTTTTTTATTTCGATTAAATTGCACAGATGATGATCATAAGTTACTATTTGAAGCAATGTTGTCATCATTACCACTATTTTTTTGAAAATTCATTGAGGCAAAATCAAAGATAATATTGTTTTCAAAATGCCAATTTTCGTCTATTGACATTTCGTGTAAATCATTATTATTATTGTTAGATCTATAAGTTGCCTTCTCATTGCTAAATTGTTCATTTAATATTTCGGTTGGAGGCTCGGATTGAGAATTGAATTTATTCGTGGCATTATGCCTTTTTGATTGTCTGTGTTAGTTTGATGAGGAGTCATTGTGGTGCGTGATATTTTGTCGACATCTTTTGATGTATGAGCTGCAGTGTACAACTCAATGCAAATTGGTTTATGATCCGAAAAGAAGGACTCGTAAGTTCCATATGAATAATAGGAGAGATTGTTAACAAATATCACGTCTATTTGTGTGTTGGTGGTGGATGTGGGAACCTGTAAACCGTGTGACCTTGGCCGGGGAATTAAAATATAATAATTCCCAGCGAAGACACGATATTGGGGAATTTACGATATTCGGAAAAATTAGGGAAACTGATTATGGTTAACGGGAGGACCCGAAATAATAAAGGGGGGGGGGGGTTGAAATGATTACTCGCTGGAATTTATGAATTGACTATCTGTATTCTGATCTCATAAAAAAAAAGTTAAAAAATAGTATATAATAAAAAGAGGGGGTGACTCTAACTCTGGAAAAAGGGGGAGAAGTGAGGGGGGCCGATTGAAAAGGTAATCATTAATAGGGGGCTTAATTTACAACTGACATCAATGTATTGGAGGCTCACCGCTGGGGGATAATTAACACGGGCAGGGAAATTCGTTGGGGCAGGGAATAAAAAAATAGGGCACTCACGGGGAATGGTGTCTTCTCAAAATCCTCTCGGTTTTCCTCGGGGTTGATCCTCCTTCCTTCCTTCTCTCTCCTCGTTCTGCTCGGATGTTCTTTTCCCAATAAATCCTCCACACACTCCACACAATAGTTCTACTCCTCACGATCTTCCCAGCAGTTCTTCCACGCAATTGTTCACACTCTAGTTCTCACCTCTTCCTCGCGATTATGGTGATAATCGGTGTTAATCGGCGGCCTTCGTTATTGTGTGTCCTTTTCCTTGATGCGTGAGTGCTGGGGCAGGTTGAAATGGGAACGGGGGTAAGGAATATCTGGGGATGGGTTGCCCAACGGTGGCGAAAAAACAGTAACTTAAACCTAACTTAACCTAGGAAAAATAAGCTGTATCAATTAGGGGGGGGGGGGGGGGGGCGAGTATTCTGCCTCATCACAACCGCGCTGGAAATTATAAACATTCAAATATTTTCAAATGCATTATTAGCTTCAAATGTATCGTAATTGAAATCTCCAATTATAATTCGTTGTTTATCAATATTCATCGATTCGATCATAGATTTCAATGCTCCAAAAAATTGCGCATGACTAAATGAAGGAGATTTATATCCAGTCAATACTTATATATTATTTGCACGGAATAGAATCAAATCTAAATGACTATTTTCCGAATCGATTTTCTGATGTTTGATGATTGAGTATGTAACTTTTGTCCTTCGATTTTGTAAAATGAAAATACCTTTTGCGCAACATTTTTTATGTGAATCCGTTCTAAGTATCAACTTGAAATTTTCCATGTTAATACAATCATTCAATTTAGTGAAAGTTTCGGAAAATATTAATATATCTGCTTGCATATACCATGAATCACAAATGATGTATGAAAAATTCTTGTCTAATGATCGAATATGATGATATGCAATTTTCAAATAACCCTTTTTTGGGAAGTTCATGTAAGATAATTTCAGTTTTCGATGCCCCCAGTCATTGTATGCAATCTGTAAAGGATCATTTGGCAGTAATGCATTTGGTGGTTCAAATCGACCTAATAAATAAAGATCTTGTAAGTTACGCACTCTGCTTAACGCTACATACAACAAAGATCGGCTTAAGGGTCGGTAGTTATTTCTAGTGGGACGCAAATCGAAACATGCTGACTTATAAGTTTGGCCCTGACTTTTATGAATTGTTATCGCTTCGGCTGGAACTATCGGAAATTGAGTACGCGTTAATTGATAATTTATTCGATCACACTGAAAAAAGTTTCCATAGTAGATTCAATGACATGGGAATTGTCAACGGATCTGTAGTCAGTATAACACAGAGAATAGTAAATTGAATTGCCTAGTTCAACGTTCGATGAACGAGATCCAGCACTCGAATTAACATCGATTCAAATGACAATATAGTATAGTAAATTGAACGGAAATTTTGGTTTATAGAAATAACTATAAGCCGAAAAATTACTTTAGATATAAAATATTTGTTGAAATTATTATTTCATTCGGATTTGATTTCTATGAACTTTTTTTTATTATTCTGTCATTGCGCTATACCAGTATTGGGTCGTTCACCTTACATATACATAATTATTTCTTTCCTCAAATCAGGAATTAATGTACATTCGTGATTCCCTGAGTTTTATACGATATTCCGTTCATCGTATCACTACTCCTTAGTGAAGTGCTCGTTTTATTCTGAAATAATTTGTGTAGTTTCTGTTTTTCAACGAAAAAATCCGAGAACATCCATGGAAGGTAAGTGTAATTAAAATACTCATTCTAAATCATTGAATATTATATCGCATTTGAAAAAACGGTCAAACAAGTGGAAAGGGAACTGGAACTTGAACTTTGATGACGTAATAGACCTATAACGAGACATTAGTGACATGATGAGACTATGTTAAAAAAAGAAATCATTTAGAACCCATTTCAACCTGTCCCTAACCTCAACTAGCGTAAGAAATAACCTATTTTACAGGACCCGGGGGGGGTTGTAAATAACTAATTCAGACCAAAAGTAAATGAGATAGCAATTTCTTATTGCGAATTTTTATGGCTAGCTACTGTTACGTCCTGAATTGATTTTGAACGTATTTTTAAATGTCACGTTGTCTACCGCAACAGGGTAGAGGGACTCTTCCCTTGAATTTTCAATTATTGTGTTTGTTTTAATTATTTTTGAATTTTACTAACCTGTTTTCTAGTTCCAGGCTGTTGGTGGGATGTTTCGGGGGACGGACCTGGTGCTCCTCCGAGGAAGTAGGAGAAGTTGGACTCCAGAATGATGAAGAATCAAAGGCTGGAGCCCTGACTATGTGTTCCAGTGAAGAATCAGGGGCTGGAGCACTGACAACGTGTTCTGTGGCATCTTTGTGGTGATTTCCTTGGCTCCTGGAGTGATTGACAAGTCTGGAATGATGCTCGGTTCCTGGAGGCTCTGCTGGAGAGTACTGTAACATAGTGCACTGGAACTGGTGATCCAGGATGTTCCAAGAGAGGTGTCCTGTCGATGGCCAGTCGTAAGGATTTTAGGTGAGTGGTGTTGAAATATCGATTGAGCAATCTTCTGCTCCAATAGATTAGGAAGAAAATAATCAATTGAGCAACCTTCTTCTCCGATTGATTAGGGAGGAAATAATTAATTGAGCAACCGTCTGCTCCGATTAATTTGGTTTTGTGAGGGAAGAAATATGAGCAACCTTCTGCTCCATGTTCGTAAAACGAAGGGGTAACACACTGGTTGAAGTCTAAGATGTAAGAGCGTTTAATTCATAAAATTCGAGGTTTATATACAATTTTTATATCCGGTGTGTAGCGTCAGCAATAAAATATTCATCCGGTTGATTTTGTCGCAGGTCGGCAGTTAGAGCGGATGTCGAATATTCTACGCTGTTGCTAAGTGAATTATTTAATAATAATTTACATTGTTTTCTCGCTGTACATTGTTTTTAAATAAAGATGGATTCAAAATATTGGCTTGTGTTAAATTATTTCGTGATTGGCTGGTTTTAGCTTATTGTGTGATTGATTTGTTGTGATAATTACATATGTTTTGGCAATAAACAATAGTGACATTTATTAATCAATTAATTTAACATTATCTAGTCACCTTTCCTGTCAATTGTATTGACTTTTTGATTGCATTAGTGTGTAAGATCCTATTGTTAATTAATAAAATGTTGCATAGTTAACTTGGAACTTGAATGCTGAGGATAACCCATTCTGGCAGTCGGTAATTCGACTGTGGGTATCTCAGTGCGATGGTCGATAATTCGACCATCGATAATTTTTGTGACTGTCGGTAACTTGAATTGAATGATAACTTGTGCATTCAATATGGTAAGTATAATTTTCTGGATAACTTATCCTTTTTCCCAATGGTAAGTATTTTTAAATATATGAAAAACGTTTTTATTTATTGTTTATTATGTTGTTTAATAGTTTGTTAGCACTGCCTTGGTGATTAAGGTGTGAATACACCTTCAATTAATTGTTCGACTTGATTTGTGCCGTGTAAATGCATAATCAAAGGGTTGTTATTAATTTTTTATGTCAACATAAGCAACATAATTATGTTGCCCTGTTGCTTAGGATCATTTGTTATATAATTGTACATGTTTCCGACTATTATTTATTACATTTGTAAGATTTTCTTATTGTTAACTTACTTATAAGATGCTCCATAATGATGTTTTTGCTATGTGTTAATGTATATAATATGTAACGTGACATTTCCCCCGTGAATGGAAAATGCCCATTACCTTCGCCATACTTCCCCTGAGCCTAATAAAACCTGCTACAAATTATGGGCGCCAGGTAATTTTTGTCCGGAATTACCAAACCGGAAAAAGTCCTTAATCCTGAACTTCACTAACCTCGAGATTCATTGTATCGAAAATCGTACCTCAAACTCCTAACGCTCGAACTGAAAAATATACTCTAAAATCAAAAAGGAAACCTGAAGGGAACGGAAAGGATACTTAGGCTTTTGGGGAAAGGTGACGGTCCTCGGGTCGCTCAGGATGCCTGCTGTGGAGAGAGGGGTGGATTGTAGATGGGAACACGGTTGTCAGAAAAATCGGGAAAAAGATAAGAGGGATTCGAGAAAAGAAAATAACTCCAAAATTGTCCTTACGTGTTTCGCTATTGTTAACCAGCAAAAAAAACTTAGTACAAGAAAGTGATTGACTATAGTAGGTTTACATAACTGAGTTCACCTCCAAGGTGCATTATCCTTCCAATTACGTTGAAATATCATTGATATTTTATTTTTATTCTCATTTTAATTATTTGGAAGTATCATTGATGTTTGGATTGGCCCGGAATATTCCCCTCCCAACTAACACCGATGATATGTGGCCTCAAGGATCATCGCCCAACGATAATCCGAGGAATGTTTAATCAACTAAAAAATAACAAAAAAAAGAAAAGGCAAAAAAAAAACTATAAACTCCTTGGGCTCGAACCGACGACACTTCCGATTTCAAGAGAGAGAGAGAGAGCGAGCGCGTTACGCTTCACCGCTCGGTTAACGGTGCGTGATAACCCACCACTGAAAATTTACTTCCCTTAAAAATTCGAAATCCCGAAATCCACATGATGGATTTCGGAAAACCCTGAGCCATGCGGCTCGGAACATTATCCCGAACACCCTCAAAGAATCGTACACGTAAAAATCGGTAATTAACCACGCTAGGCCAATTAATAGCCACGAGGAATATTAATGCGTAGATCACACTTGTTGCACGTGCCACTCGATGGTTGTCTCGATGACGCCATGAGGGAAAACACACACAATTTTCACACTCAAATTCTATCCCCAAAATAACTACTAAAATCCCAAAAACTCTCACTAACAACCCACCAACCGCACTGGGGGAAAACACGCGCCGAACACGTTCGGAAAATTCTCCCAACAGTCCTCAAAAAAAAAAAAAAACACCCAAATTCGGGGGAACAGCCGACGCCATTTCCATCGCTCTGAGAAATCTCTAACCGCCAATAATTTATTGGGGAGCCGCCAAAAAGGGGGAAATAACTAAACTAATACCCCAAAAAAAACTCACCTTGGATCCCCTTGACGCCTTTCTTTTCCGTTTTTGGACCATCCTGGGTATGATCCGATGTTCTGGGTGGTGCACTCGTCACGTCTCACTACTTATTTTTGATTCACGTGTGTGGTGTTTCACGGTCAAGGCGTAACGGATTTTCGGGGGTCAGTGCCGCGTTGCGCTGACCCCCTAATCACGCCTACCAATCGATCGGGTGTCGATTGTTGGATCCCTCTACCCTATTAGGGGTCAAGCCCTTCGCGGGAGAATTAATTCAAATTTGAATTAATTCTCATTACCAGAAATTTTTCTTTCCGCGGTACTTTTCTCTCGGTTGTTCCTCCTGGATTCCTGGAGTTATAAGACCTAAATCACTAACCTTAAAGGTATTAAATTATTTCACTAACCCGTAATTTTATCCGATTAATTGGCCATCCGCCGAGGTAAGGGCTGGATTTACCCCGAGCGGCCTTCCACCCGTAACTAATCCTAAAGTTTTTGGCACTCCGTCGGGATGAAGGTTGATTCTACCCCGGACGGGCTTCCACCCGTAACAGCCCTTGGCAACCCGTAGGGGTGGTTTTTTTGGGTCCCCATGCGGCCTTCCACCCGTACCATCTAACCCTCAGGAACCCTTTCCTTTGGAGCGCCGGCTTTTTGGGCCGGACCTAAAATAACCTAGAGCTTGCCCTACGCTTAACCCTAAAATCCACAAAACCACCCCGAAGGGGGGAAAACCCTAATATCAACTACCCACCACCGCTTTAACTAATTTTTAACGCACCCCGAAGGGGGAAATTGCGATTATTTCTACTCTCACATAATTATGGCATCCCTGAGCTCTCTCTCTCTCTCTTTATTAATCATTTTGGGGAAACTAACGGACATCCCCGATGCTCGTTACATCCCCCTCCTTTGATCGTCCGTATCCGGGTCAGCCTTCGGGATCTTCCTTGGTCCGGCTGTCTCTCGTTCCTGCTTCGGAAATCTGCATCGTACCTAAACTCCACCAAACGTAGTGTCGGGGAAAAGCTCGAACCCTCACCCTGAGGTAATGGTCGGAATAAATGCATAATCTTCATTGAAACGTATTGCGACGTAATTTTCGGAGGTTCACGGAGGTTTTCGGTTCCATTAGCCCGCCCTCTGGCACCAAAACACCCCACAAAAAAAATCAGAAA